AAAGAAACATAGCATAGAAAAAAAACATCTGGGCAAACACTCCATGCCTAAGTCCATTATTTGTAGTGTTAATGTCTTGTACTTGATGATTCCAAGATTCAAGGACAAAATACAAATACTATGGACACAGTGACAATCCAGAAATCACACATCTGTCACCAGAATGACAGCATTTAGTGAAGATCCCACTGCTAGTGGATTTTCCTATTTCCTAAAGTACTTTATGGGTATTTTCCTAATTACAGTCCCATCACAGTTTTATCTGGTGGAATATTTTTACCTTTCTTTTAGCCCTTAAACTCGATTAACGTTTGTAATTAGATAGATGAAGATGATGAATGCAATCCTTATAATGTCACAGATTAAAATACATCAATGTATGTAAGGAAACTCATGGAGACTTTCATCCTGAACTGTGCCTGAGGGGCAATCAAACTGCACAGGCCACTGTAGCACAACCAGATACCAGACTTTAGGAAGGAATTCCTTCTGGAGAGTACAGGATGTTATTATCTTGACAAGCAACTGACAGCAAGAGGACACTGGCAGCCTCCCATACTGGCAGCAGTTATGCCAGGCCAGCAGCGGGTAGGACACGAAGCCAAAGCAGGGCAAGCCAAAGCAATGCCATACTCACTTGGAAGTTAGCGAGACCACGTAGGAATCTGTCCCATAAATGGTGGAAGACTTGTTGTTCTTTGTATTTGCTAAACGAACCTGAGAGAGAGAATTTGATCAATGTTGCTTCTGTCTGCAGAAGGTGGATCTTCCCCAGTGTAACGTTCCCAGAGGTTTCCCAGTCCGTGACCAGCACCAGAAATCACAGGAAGCTCACTGCCTTCTGGGAGGTTGGAGAAGTGGAAAAGTTGGAGTCACACTTCCACATTTCTAGAAGGGCTTGGGAAAAGAACCAAGTGATCCAATAGAACCTCCAAGGACTAGCTGGGAACCAGAAAATTCAAGTCCACAGTGTAATCTCTTTGTTGCTATTCCATGCTCAGTGCCACATGTTGATGGCTCTTGCCTGCACAGCTCAGGTGCTTGCACGCCCTGGCAAACTCAGCATGGAAAAAAAACCCAGGCAAATAACAAGTTTCTCTACCTTTCCTTCAGCAAGACCAAAGACAATGACATTCTCCGCTGGCCACAATAAGCAGGTTACAGCACTCTGCCAAGGAGGAGGTAAAAAAAGAGGTTAGTAGCTCCATCCTACTCAGCTTCCTGCCCCACTTCCACCTAAGACAGCTCATGAACAGTGACACCACTCAGGCCAGGAGAGATGGGGCATTTGGCAGACCTTACAGTAGGGTTGAGACCCTGCAGGCTGAAGTTTAAACTACATAATAGTGAGCTAGGGCAAAGTAATGGGCTCAGGAGGGCTAAGGGAGGGTAACAAAGTGATACTGATGTGTTCAGAATGGAGCTCTTCTGAGAGCATTACTTACTGAACAGGGGTGTGGTTTTCCACGTGCTGTGGCTGAATGTACAAAATCATGACTGTTTTAAAAGGTTTTTTGCAAGTAGTATAAAACTTAAAAATAATGTGACTCTGTCAGCTTCTCTAATAGCTATGAGAATACTTGCATGCTGGATCTTCATTTGATGAATCAGAAATAGCCTTTGTTTTTTCACTGACAAGCAATATGGTTATTAGACACTACTAAATCCAAACCAAAGGTATTCCCAAAATCTGAGGTGGGATCAGGATAAATAAAGCCAACCGCAAAAGTCAACTGTAAGAGAGGGCCAAGAGAGCTAACAAAAGCCCTTCACATTTACCCTGCAGAACTCCAGTCAGTAAGAAGACTGGTGTTTGTCACCGTGCCACCAGCACCAGTCTCACTGGCTCCTCTGTCCCATCTTAAGCATCTGGGGCTGTTTTAGATACATTTACACCCTCATTTACTCATTTCACCTATCCCCACTCTGATCATTCATAGCAGCAAACACAGCTACAATCAGGCAACAAAATGTCCCATGGTACCCAAACTGTTCATAATTAAGATGTACAACCAATGACCAAGACCCATTTTCACTACCACTGTTTCCCGGGAATCTGTGTATTTCCTTCATTATCTGGCAGACTCTTGTTTTCAGTCTAACACAACAAAAGTTTGGGAAAAAGCCTCACAAGTGGGAATTTACTCACTGCTTCTGCAAAGCAGTCACACTTGCACACACTTGTCCCAGCCCTCAAGCAAGAGGCCTGGCTTGCCAGCAGGGCTGAACAGTGCCACAATGATCACTGGGTGTGTAAGAATGCCTAGCGGCAGAAGAGGGAAAGGGATCAATAAATGATGTCTCATATTGACTGAACACACGAAAAATTTGTAAATAACAGGAGAAAGCTGGACACAGTGGTAAAAAACCACACATATAGCACAAGAAAAAAATAAAGGATTTATTTTGTTAGAAATGGTAGAAAAGGCATGGAGAAATGAGAGAATGAGAGAAAAAAAAATCACCGAACTGCTACATTAGAAATACAAAAACTTGTATGCATGCTGTGCACAGCATTCAAGCTTGTGAGGGGCGAGCAGGCTTCCACCAGGCTGTTAGACAGAAGGGCAGGTAGCCAGCAGTACACAAGGAAAGGGCTCTCCAGGGAGGCTACAGGTGTCCACACCTGCCATAACCACCCTGTTCGGGAAAGAGCCTCTTGCTCTCTTTTCCTCATGACACTCTATTCCAGTGTCATGACCAATCAGTGCAGCAGCTCAACCAGAGAGAAACAGAGGCTGACCAGCAGCTTTCTTATTGCCCGAGCCACAGAATTCCAAGAGTTCCCCTCCCACAGCCAGAAGAGAGCACTCAGAGAGGCTGGGGGGGTTCCTGAGCCACCCTAAAAGCAGCCACAGTGGTGGGCCATGACTCAACTCCAAGATGTAGGCTTTCAGCCCACAGTCTGAGGCTGCCCTTCTTCTGAGAGACAGCTTGAGAAAGCCTGGCACAGAAATGCCAGCAATTCCACCAGGAGCAGCTCTGTGTTCCCAGGGATCTGGACAAGAAGGATTCCTGCTACCTAACAGAGAACTTCCTTGGTGACATGAAGAATGTGGGTGTCTTGGTGTGGTGGCACTTGCCTGGAAAGCCTTAGGCAGCTGCTGGACTTCTGCCTCTGAACATAAAAGTAGTCAGTGTAATAAATATAATAATAATAATTATTATTATTATTATTATTAACCGGGCAGACTGCTCTCTAACAGAGGCAGGCAGAGCCAGAGCAGCAGAACATGAAGGTGGTCAAGGAGCAAATTCGACTGAAATCACAAACCTGAGGTCCTTGAACATGTGGAAACTGCATATTTTGAATTCTGCACACTTTACATTTTGTTTAAAAGGACTCTTGGGGTTTAGAGTTGCTAACCTGTGAAAAACGGTTGGATGCTGAGTCTTTCCCAGTTTTCCCTTTCAATTCCCCTAAAATATTCTGTCCACTGATGTCTAAAATAGTCCCCAAAGTTTTGTAACGGACTGCACTGATCATTCAACGATTAACTATGGTGTTGTACCCAGGAATTAGGAAGCCTCTGAAGCTTGGTGAGCAATACATGTCTCAAAATGTAGAGATTCTCTTAGGATCTACCTGCATCTTTTGGAGATCAAGTACAGTTTGGCCAAGTTTGTCTTTTCCTACATATGCTGGAGAAAATGGAGTCAAACAGGAGCCTGAGTCTCACCGTTTGGATGAACTTGTTGCATATCACCTTCTTGTCACCCCTGCAGAAAAAGGTAGACAAAAATTACTATCAGCTAGGTTGGCAATACTGCTCATTCTGGTCACTCCACCGCTTGTATGCAGTCTGCTTTGGTACTGCCAACAAAAGCTGCTGAAGTTTTGCATGCTGCTTGTGTATCACAACTTTAGGCAGAACATCAAAAAGAACCCAAACTTTTGAGCTTCCAAAATTCTGGTGATCTGCGTTTCTGTGTCTTTAGCACAATTCACGCCAGCAAATGAAGCTGCAATGGGGCAGGTGTGTGCCACAGCTACACATCTGTGACACAGGGGTAGACAGCCATCTGGCTGCATGTACTGACAGGGCTCCAGAGGGGCTGCGCCAAGGAAACCTCACCGGCTGTTCCCCACGGACAGTGTGGCTGCATGACTCCCTGCGAGTCAGCTGAGCGTGCCAGGGAGAGGATCAGGCCCGGGGAGCCCACTGCAGGGCGGGACAGAGCGTGCTGGACCTCACCACAGACTCACCACTCCTCGCCGATCCTGTACACGTAAACAATGTTGTCCGTCTGCCCGATGGCCAGTTTAGTGGAGTCTGGGGAGAAGGCCATGCCTTTGACCACGTAGCTCTTCCTGCCGTACTGCAGAGAGAGTCGGTGTGAACGGGGGAAGGTCGGCAGCCCCGACGCCGTCCGGCCTCGGGTCCCTCACCTTGGCGTCGGCCGGCTTGGTGGAGAACTTGTCGCGCCGCTCTCCCTGCTCGTCGTAGAGCAGCACCACGCGCTCCGCGGTGCACACGGCGAACCGGGCGCTGCTGGCGGACCAGGCCATGCAGGTCACCCGAGCCGTCCCGTCCTGCGGGCACACACACAGCTCAGCGGGTACACAGCCGGAGGGCCCGGCCCGCTTCCCCCGGCCCGGCCCTCCCCAGCCCGGCCCGGCCCGCTTCCCCTGGCCCGGCCCGGCCCTGCCGGCCCAGCCCGACCTGGGGGACCAGCAGGGTCCGCACGTGCCGCAGCTGCATCGCGCCCTACTCCAGGAACGAAGCTGGGGCCGGGAAGATCCAACGGGCCCGCCTCGCTGCCGCTACCCCCGCCGGCTCCGCTTCGGCCCACCCCCGTTGCCGCGCAACCCCGGCGCCAGCGCCGCGCTGACGCGAGTGCGCCGAGCCCGCGGGGACCGACCCCCCCGCCGACAGCGGCAGGGCTGGGCTGGGCTGGGCTGGGCTCGGGCTTCGGCTCTGGCTCGGGCTCGGGCTCGGGCTCCGGCTCCGGCTCCGGCTCCGGCTCCGGCTCCGGCTCCGGCTCGGTCTCGGGCTCCGGCTCCGCCATGGAGGCGCTGCGGGCAGCGGGGCGCGCCGTGCTGCGGAGCCCGCGCCTCGCCCGGCACGGCCTGGGGCTCCGCCGACGGCGCAGTGAGTGCGGGAGGGCATCGCTCCGGGAGCGGAGCGGGCAGAGGCCGGGCATCGCTTCGGGAGGGGAGCGGGCAGGGACTGGGCATCGCTCCGGGAGGGGAGAGGGCAGGGGCCGGGCATCGCTCCGGGAGGGGAGAGGGCAGGGGCCAGGCATCGCTTCGGGAGGGGAGCGGGCAGGGGCCGGGCTTCGCTCCAGGCGGGGAGCGGGCAGGGACCGGGCATCGCTCCGGGAGGGGAGAGGGCAGGGGCCGGGCATCGCTCCGGGAGCGGAGCGGGCAGAGGCCAGGCATCGCTTCGGGAGGGGAGCGGGCAGGGACCGGGCATCCCTCCGGGAGGGGAGCTCGCAGCTCGGCGAGGTCGGTCTCGGTTGCGGCCGCTGCCCTCCGAAGGGAGCGGTGCGGGTGCGGCTACGCCGCGACGCGGAGCCTCGGGGCGAGGGGCTGGAGGGCCGGGAGAGCCCGGGGCCGGGGCTGGGGACACAGCGGCGCTGTGGCGCTCGCCGAGCTCTCCCTGCCCCACTCCCCTGGCTGCCGCCACTTATCAACCGAGGCTGCCCGCGCCGGGGGCTGACGGACCCAGGCGGCCGCGGCAGACGCTGGAACATGCTGGGCTGCACCGGAGCCCTCCCCGGCCTGCAGCGAGTGTGCCAGGCCTGTCCGTGCTGTGCGAGCCACGGACCCATCCATGGAAGTGTTCGAGGCCAGGCTGGATGGGGCTTGGAGCAACCTGTGATAGTGGAAGGTGTCCCTGCCCATGGCAGTGGGTGGAACTGGATGAGCTTTAATGTCCTTTCCCACCCAAACCACTCCATGATTTCATGACCCCTCAGGCACCCCGTGCCAAGGGAGGGCTGTGTCTGGCTGTTCTCAGTCACAGCTGCCCAAAGACTTTGCTGGAGCAGCAGTGCTGACCCTGGCGCGCATGGACTGTCCTCAGAGTTCAGAGTGACACAGGGCTCTTCTGACTGGGGTGGAGGTCACCAGTGCCTGCGTGACACCAGGCAGGCTCCCTGGCAGTTGTCACCTGTGAAGGAATATGCTGTGCAAATAAGGTCTCCTGATTTCCCTGTGGGTTCAGATTATTCCAATTATGAGTTGGACCCTTCTGCAAGTGTGCCAGTAATGCTCAGGGAGCTAATCCCAGGGAAGAGGTGAAAATAACCCTGAAATGTATTAGCTTAGCATGAACAGTACATACCGAGGCAATTCCCAGCTCTTTCTTAACACAGCATCTCTGAAGTGCGGTTGCTTCCCAGTTACTGCAGCTCAGATCCCGAGTGCTGGCTAAACTGCCCCTTCCCTGGCAGCCTGCTACTGCCAGTGGGTTTGGTTTGCTTACACTGGGGCAACCTGGGGTTTTTGATCTGAGTGGCAGGACTACTGCTGCTTCTGAGGTGTGCCAGCAGCTCAGGTGGGTGAGATGAATGCACCACTGAGAACATTTCATTTGTAACGAAACAGATGAGAACCAGGAACACAAGGTTTGTGCAGACAGCAGTGAGTACTGTAGCATCCTCAGTTGTGTGCAGATATGCAGGAGCTGTCTGTCTGTGCTGATAAAGCCTACATGTCCAGGATGGAGGACTAAAGCTTTGAGGGTGAACTGTCTTCTCCTTCTGTTCCTCTTATGAGAGTGTCACAGAGCCAGGAGAGTGTCTTGCTGAGATCAGGGAGCAGCACTGCTGTGGGAAGCTCTGAGGCTTTCAACAAGGTGGGGTGGCCCTGCAGGCACTAGCTGTGAGGCTGCTGGCACATGGCTTCCATGGTGTTTTGTCTTTGCAGAGCTTCCTGAGAGCTGGGCCGATATGCAGGAGCCACTGCTTGAGGGGATGTGCTTCACCCTGAAGTATCTAGGCATGACTCTGGTAGAAAAACCAAAAGGAGAAGACATGGCTGCCGCTGCCATTCGCAGGATTGTGGCCACGGTGAGACCCAGCCCTGGGGCCCTGCTATTCCAGGGTCAGAGCCCAGCCCCTGGATGCCCACAAGTGTCCGTGTCCTAGCCCTGAGCTCCAGGCATTGTGCCCTTCCCAGGAGTAGGGTGGTGTGCAGGAGGCTGCTGGTCTCTGCCTGTGTGCTGTGGAGAAGCTGCCTTCCTGCAGGACAGCCCCCACCACCTGCTCCCACACCTGAACTCAGCTGGGAACAGAGCTGTGCCTGTCACAGCACGGAGGAGAGGGTGAAATACTGGGGGAGGTGGAATCTATCCCTTCCTGTGTGCATGGCAGGAGTGTGAAGAGATTCCAAGAGTGTTCTGTGCAGGGCATGCCTGATCTCCAGGCTCTGCTATCCCATCCCTACTGCAGGAGCCTTTGCAGCAAGGGTCCAAGTGGGTGACACTGTACAGAGTGTGGGGGGCTCCTTCCAGCAAGGAGGTGAGGTAAAGACCCTTGCCAGGTTTGCAGAGATTACCAGTGTCTTTCCACTGCCAGGCACGGGTGGGAGCTCGCAAGTTCCAGAAGGTGATTCTGACAGTGTCTCCGAGGGGCATCTCACTGCAGGATGCAGACACAAAGGAAATGGTGGAGAACGTCTCTATCTACAGGTGGGCATGGCATGGGGGGACAGCCAGCAGCCAGCTGCCAACTGGAGACTGATGGGATGTTGGGCAGCCAGGGAGGGCTGGGCCATCTGTCGGCAGTACCTTTAAGCTTAGGTCTTCCTCTGGCTCCCTGAGGTCTGTTCTCTCTCCCTGCTGTGCTCCCAGAACTGCCTGGGGCCTGAGTGCAGGCAGGGTCCTGGGTGGCCTTGAGTTCATCTGCCTGTCTGTCATCTCCTTGCACCCTGCATGTCTCTTCTGGCTTTCAGCAGGATGTTGAAGCTGGTGGTTGGAAAGCCTCACAGTTAGGACAGGACTGTATGTCTGCCACCACTACCCTTCTGGCTGCAGGATGCCAGAAACTGCAGCTTATTTGGGCTGCCTAAAAGCAATTGCTGTGAGAGCTGATGTTGATTTTTCCTGCTGCCAGCTGTCCTTTGGCTGGGTTAGGTGTTTGTGGGTGCTGGGTGTGAGGGAAGCGTGGCTGCAGGCTGGTGACTAGATGGGAAACAGAGACAGGACATCTCTTTGCTGTAAAATTTGGGTCTCATCACCAGAACTGATGTGCCAGGTCAGACCATCTCTCTGCCTTGCCTCCAGTTGTGTCCTTGGAAGCAGTCACTCACCCTTCTGTGCTCCCCTTGTCTCAATGCTTGAGTTCACACATTGGGCTGATCTGGGCATCAGAGGACCATGGAGCACACTTGGGTGGGTGCAGGAGAGAATGCCTGTGGATCCAGTGATCTCTTACCTGCTGCAGGTGCCAAGCAGTCTCAGGCCCTTGCTAGAGGATTGGGCTGCCTGGCCAGCTCGGACAGGTGACTGCCTCAGGTTGTCAACAGTGCTTGCTGATGTGCTGGGAGTGCAACAGAAGCCCCATGCTGGGGCCCCAGAGTGCCCTGACAGCTCCTCTCTCCACAGGATCTCCTACTGCACAACAGACAAACTGCAGAACAAAGTCTTCGCTTATGTTGCCCAGAGCCAGGAGAGTGGGGCGCTGGAGTGCCATGCCTTCCTCTCACCCAAGAAGAAGATTGTAAGCACTTCCCTTCTGCTCTTGGCTCTGTGAGGTAAGGGTGGGAACAAGGCCCTACCTTCTCCCCCTTTGGTGAGGGAAGGCCCTTCCCTCTGTGCACCTCAGCTGGATTTGGAGCCAGGGAGCAGGTGTGCTCACGTGCTGCAATGACAGGGAGTGAGCAAAGGGTAGTTTCCTGTCCCAGCTCCTGGGGATCTCCTCTTGGGCGTGGCTGTCCCCCAGGAGCAGACAGACACAGCAGTGAGCTCTGGCCTTTCATCTGTATGTTCTGCAGGAAAAGGCAGCGAGGGATGCTGGCGGGGTCTGGGATTTCATGGCAGTGGGGTTGTCCTGGCTTGAGGGCCCAGACGGAAGCAGACATTCCCTCTCCTTCATGTACGTAGGCACAGGCTGTGACTCTGACCGTGGCCCAGGCCTTCCAGATGGCTCTGGATCTCTGGGAAGCAACACATGCAGGTAGGAGGAATTTCTCAAATGTATCCCTCTGCATAGCCCTGGGATCAAGGTCCCTGCTGTGGGACCCTGTCCTGGGCTGTGTGGAGGGGAGCTGACTCGCTGCCTGGCTGGTAAAATACACCAGGCGGGGAGAGTGTTGTCCCTGTGGCTGTGTTTCTCTGCCACTGCCCCATCTCTGGTTGGGGTGGGGTGGGAGGCATCCCTGCTCCTCATGCTGAACTGCTCTGCATCGCTGAGCTGGAGCCCTTCTCAGGGCACAGTGGTACTTGCCCTGAGCAGTGATTCCCCCACCCTTGTTTGCACCCTCCCCACAGCACAGTGGGGATTCCCTGTCCTTTGCCCAGGGTCCTGCCTGTACATCCCCAGCTGGGCTTTTTCCAGGTTACAGGCACTAACTCTGCTACTTTTGCCCTGTCCCAGGCTCTAGGCAGGATCAGCCCTTTCTCCCTTCATGTGTCATGGAGAACAGTGAGCCCGGCAGACCCCATGAGCCAGCCCCCCGGGGGAGCCCTCCCTTCAGACACCAGTTTGGGGTACAGTATGTGCAAGTCTGGCCCATGCCCAGGGATGTTTGGAATTAGGGCAGGAACAGAGTGATCCTTATGCAGCTCCTTCCTCCTGCCCTCCCAGGGCCCTGTTGATACCTGAACAGCCCCCATCACACATGGCAGCGTGACTTGAGGAAGAGCACTGTGCTCGCACAGCAGGTGCGGTTCCTCAGGCTCTTTGCTCCAGAAGCTCTGCTGTCAGGCGCAGCACTGCTGCAGCCTCATCCCTGTTCTGCTGGCCCTGTCACACAGGGAGCTGGACCTGTGCTGCACACCTGGTGCCATGGCTAGGGGGGAGAGCTGCCTCTAAACGAGAGGACCCTTGGGTCACCATCCTGCCAGCCTGGGCTAAGGCGCAGCCCTGCCTATCTGCACAGCATCTCCTGCATGGCCACAGCAATTGCAGCATTGCCATCTTGCCAGGTTCACTATGTCCCTGCCCAGGAGACTCTGGATGCTTGGTCCTTGGCCTCATGCTTCCAGTGCAGGTCCAGCCTGGCAGTGCTTGGGGTTGTACCTACATGCAGCCTGCTCACGGTGGTCTCTGCCTGCCCTCCCACTGCAAGGTGTGGCCACCCACCACTGTCTCTGGGCAGAGGTGTGCTGTGTCAGCAGCTGTGTCAGTGTAGTCCCTGCTCACCACCTGCGTTTGGGGCATTGCTGCTGCATGGAGCCATGGTCTGTCTGTTCCTTGTGTGCCTCTGTGCTTGAGCCCAGAGGGTTCTGGCAGTCCAAGTCTTTCCCACTGTGGGAACCCTTTGTGCCGTGTGTGAGGGAGTGAGTGACTGTCTTGTGAAGGGGCTGGGCACTGCCCTGCTGCTCCAGACAGGCCCTGAGCAGCCTGGCCTCACTTCTGGCAGAGACCTGCCCCTGCAGGGAGATGTCATGGTATTTTTTTTGTTTGTTTGCTTGCCAGGAGGAGGAAGAGGAGGAGGAAGATGATAATGTTGGTGAAACCTTATCTGGGTAGGTGGTGAGCTGCTTCTTCCTTTCAGACATCTAATGCACCCTGTCTTGTTTCCTTTTCTCTCCTCCATGCAAGGGGAGCTGCTGGGGCCATGGACATGGTGGGATCATGGAGGAGAGCTGAATGGGACCAAGCAGAAGCTTCACACTCTTTCTCCGTCTCTGTCAGTTGAGAGCTCAAGTGAACAGGGGGCTGAGCTGTGGAGGAACAGACCTTGCAGTCCAGCTTTTGCAGTGGAGCTATGGGGGTCAGATGGTGACCCCCAGGGTGCACCCAGAGATGTTTCTTGTTCTGTTTCTGCCACTCTTTGTTGATGCCAGCCTGTCCAGACATGCCTCTCAGATGGGACTCAGAATTGCCCCCTTCCTCTCACTGATTTCCCTGGGGCTTGGACCAGGATGGAGGCTTGGTCATGCTGACTTCTGCGTGGACTGGGGCTGTGGGCTGAGCTTGATGGTGTCTGTCCTGTGCTGGGGAGGAGCTGATGGAACCAGTCCAGCAGTGGACTGTTAATCTGCAGGTCTTTGCAGAAGTGCAGTGTGAGAGGCCTGTTTCATCGTGGCTGTTCTCCATGTGCATGGCAGTGCCAGCCAGCTGGGATCTGGCAGTGCCACATGGCTGAGCCTGGGCTGAGCTAGTGCCAGCCAGGAACCAGCACATGCACAGATGGGAGCTGTGTGCACAATCTGAGGAAATGGCGGCCCTTTGGACAGGGGGCTCCTGATGGGAAGGAGATGTGGCTATGCAGTCTCAGATCAGGCAGGTCTGGGGAGGGAGTTTGGTAGCAAATGGGCTTAAGGCCTTCTGCACTCCCAGTGCCCGATGCTGCCTGCCTTGTTGGGGTCAGGAGCATGCAGTGTCTCTCAGGAGGCCATGCCTGGGATATGATAGGTGCTGTGTTCTCTTCCAAAGCAGCATGGAGGAGCTGGGGAGGGGAGCTCATAGCCCAGCAGGTAAGTTCCTTCCTTCAGTGCTGCATTGGCTCATCTCCCAACATGTCCTCTGCAGGGGGAGGGGGTTGATGCTCACCTGGGAAGGTCTGCTTCCCCTCCCAGGCTGTGCTGGGCTCCCAGCCTCATGTCTCACGGTTTGCCATGTCTTCCTCTTGCTTTTCAGAATTAACACCTCTTGTGCCCCGAGCACGCTCTCCTACAGCACAGCTACTGTGCTATCAGCTGGGGCACTCCTCAGACAGCTGGACAGGGCTGGGAGGGGTTGGAGACCTCCCCACCTCTGGCCCTAGGACTGCTGGCCCCAAGACTCCCCTGGGCTAAGCCAAATCTCTGCAACAATGAACCGGCCACTCAGGATTCACCCTGTGCCTGCACCCGGGCCAGCCAGTGCCTGCCCCTACCCTGGCACTGCCGTCTGGGCACGGGGGCTGCCAGCACCGCTGCCATGGAATGCACAGGCTGTGACACCCGCTCCTTGTCCTGCTCTGCCTGCATGAAACGCCTAAAGCTGCAGCTGCTCCCAGCTCAGGCTGGGGGACCTGTGCTCCTCACTCTGCCTGCTCCCAGGCCACACACAAGACCACTCCAAGTGCTCTGAGCCTGCTGGATGCAACCAGTGCACATCCTCAGGGAGCAATAGCTCTTGGCCTGGAGCAGTGTGTGAGGAAGGCCTTGCCCCTGCAGTTCAGCCCCACACCCTCTCATGAGTGATATGAGCTGGTTTTTAAAGGAAAGCTCTGCCTTTATAGAGAAATAAACCGAGTTTTTTACTGTTGTTGTGTAGGTTTGAGTGCTGGATAGGTGCCATGCACAAGCATGAAGAGTACTGTGTCTGCTGCACTGTGTGTGGTGAGGCTCACTGTGCCCCGAGCTCATGGAGCCTGGAGCTCCCACGTCTTTCTCAGCTGCAAGCCATGAGGGAGCTGTTCCCCCTGTGCTGAGGTCCACTGGGATGGAGGGTGCCCTTGTGACCTGGGAGGAGCTGTCCAGGCTGTGCTGGACTGGTGTCTTGCACAGCTGTAAATGCTGCACCCCAGCTGTACTCTGCACAGGCAAGCCATTCACTTGGTTTCCTTCCCCAGACAGAGCAGAGGAGGCTGCAGCCATCAGGAGATCTGGTCTCTCTGTCAAGTAACAGCTTGCAGCTATGTTCTGGCTGAGGCCCTCACTGCTAGGTTCCTGTCACATCTCCACACCGCTCCCCTTCTCAGGCTGCTGGCACTGACAGCTCAGTCAAGCAGCAATCACTGGCTGCAGCCGTGGTGGCAGGGCCAGTCTCCTAGCAAGTGCCACAGGAAGGTGCCATGAGAAGGCTGGCACTGGGGAGGCTTGGAGTGTCATGTGAAGGCTGGCATCAGGGAGGCTTGGGGTGCCATGGGAAGGCTGGCACTGGAGAGGCTTGGAGTGCCATGGGAAGGCTGGCACTTTGGAAGCTTGGGGTGCCATGGGAAGGCTGGCACTTTGGAAGCTTGGGGTGCCATGAGTCAGTCAGGAGCTGTGCGCTGTTTTTCTCACTTGGGGTTTTGCATACTGAATCTGGTCTCATGCCCTTCCTCCCTCAGCTGAGGGCACACAGCAACCTGTAAGTGTAGTTAGAGTCAGCAGGTCATTGTCAGGCCCTCTGCTTCCAGCACTCATGTCTGCAGTTCCCTGCTCCCCTGCACTGCCATGGTCTGAGAAAGAAGAGGTGGCTTGGGGCTTGGGGGTTTTTTACATGAGGGAAGTCTTTTTTGCTTCAACACCACATCCTGATTTTACATTCAGTGTCAGACCTTTGTGTTCCTTTCTTCATTTGGCCCCAACCAGTGCATTTTGACAATTTTTTGTGCCTTCCCTAGTTCCTTATCTCAGCTGCAAAAGACCCGGGTTCGATTCCCGGTCGGGGCCCCTCCCCGGGCAGATGGAGCTCCTTAGCCCGTAAGGCAATCCATCTACGTCCTGAGGACCTCGCTGCCACCGTCCAAGCGTGCTTGG